CCTAAAATATGATACATGCGGCCAAGTGTTCAATCATTAACGTTAGCCATTATGAATGGGTTCCTCAGGCCCAAATTACTGCTCCTTTACACTGATTGATTAGACTGATTAGCCCCATGGTGAAATCATACGTCAACTGGACCTTAATAAGATAGATACTTACTGATGGAATGTTGTGCCACTGGAGCCACCACGATTACTGCAATTAATTGCAGCACAGGCCTTAGGCATGTTGGAAAATGCCAACGCACTTGAAAAAGGGTTACAAAACCTCTGGAGCAACTCCTCTGCTGCCTGCTTCACAGCTCTGTACAGACAATGCCGCCAACACAATATTTAAATGACCCGGCTATCATGGCTTCCAAACCTCACACTACATTAGCGCCACCAGCCGCTCTAGGTATGAAATATACGATCTCTATGGTCCTATCACATTTGCATACCGACTGGAACCACCTGTCTATTCCATACGCATATCAAGTGGATCCACTTCCAATTCCATCTTCACACCTGCTGGGTTTTAGGTGGTGTTTGAGTGATAGATGTAGGTGGGTAGAATTTTACTAAGTGCATGATTTTTGAACTGTTAGACAAAGCATGACAAAACTTGACAAGTCTCCCTTTATGGGTACATAACCCCAGGTGCTAAGTTTAATCCTTATCTGGGATGGTATGGTGTTATCCACTGGGTGGCACCTTGTAGAGTGATAAGCAGGGTATACAATTGCATATGGTGCAATGTCATGCCTTCGTGTGATATACCCTTTTATGTGCGCACGTGTGTCATAATTTCTCGCAGCCCCTACGATCGTGCGAGCACGATGTGGAATCAGTCTCCCGGTCCCATCAAGGTCGGAGTGTATGAGGCAAGCCCGGGACTACAAGATGAATCATCCGCAAACAGGCAAAGCTCTGGTGTTCAACCACGAAGTCTTCCACAGGGACCTGGATCTGAGCGTGCGAAACGGCACGGACCAAGACCGGGATCGCCTGGTTCACACTCTCGGCCTTCTCGGCTTCGAGATCCACGTCTTCAACAACAAAACCTTCAAGCAGATCAGAGAAGTTATCGATAATGGTGAGTTTATTTGTTTCCAGAATGGTATACAGTTTATTTGCTTAGCAGTTCCTCATTGTATTTTTTGTCATGGCAGTTGCCATGGAGAATCATCAGCACTATGAATGCCTTGCTGTGTGCTTCCTGAGTCACGGAGAAAACGGCTTGCTTTATGCATACGATCAACCCTTCAAGCCTGACCGCATTTGGGGAGCGTTCACTGCTGATGTTTGTCCTACCTTGGCTGGGAAACCCAAGCTGTTTTTTGTTCAGGTAACTCCATGACTCCATGAAAACGTTCGGAGAGAAGAGAATGGGTCAGTCAGTCCGTCTCCTGGCTCCTCCATCCATCCCCCGACGAATGCAGTCCCTAACAGCATTCTCTTCCCTGTCGCAACTTCTGATGGAAAAAGAAAAAGAAAAAATGGAGAAGAAAAGGACGGATGAACGG